TAAACAGCTTCATCAATGAACAATGCAACAATCCTTATATGTTGTTTTTATCTTGTACAATTCTTACAAGATCATATAGAATCTTACTATATGATCTTCCATAATCATACAACATCATCTGAAAATCGTATATGATCTTGTACAATTTTAAATGTTAATCTCAAAGCTATCATTTCTGATAAAATCCTACTGTACGATTTTCTATGGTTACCGACAAAGAGTGTGGTTGTGGGTGTGAGTGGGTGTGTGGGTGTGGATGTGGGGTGTGGGTGTGGGTGTGGGTGTGGGTGTGGGTGTGGGTGTGGGTGGGTGTGGGTGGGTGTGGGTGTGGGTGTGGGTGTGGATGTGGGTGTTAATGTGTCTCAAATAAAGACTGTTACCCACACCCACACCCTTCTATATTTATTGTTACGCATCTATTTATATATGGGCTTCTACTCGAAAAAAAATTTTTTTTTCAAAAAAACTAGAAGATGTTACTATGCTTTGATATCACTTGAAATCTCGAAAATTTTATTCGGCACTAAGAGTTGTTAATCAATGCAGCTAGTAATTGCCTATCATTTGATAAGATTCGTCACCAAAATCGAAAATTATACCGGATAATTCGTGGTAGTTTCACTCACCCACATCCACACTCCCTTATTTTTAAACATAATTGAATCTATTGTGACTTTTTACCAAGTCGTCAAATCTAATTTTACTAAACAGGTACATGTGACAATGACTTACATTTTCTCCATCAATCACTTCTTACCAATCTTCAGAAATCTCATTCACAAACTAACCAGAGTTAAAAGGCTTCTCTATTCATTTTTGCACATTTCCTTGATACAACATGGTGAAGATTGAAATGAAAAAAATGTTTTATCATTTTAATTGACGATCATCCTTTCCATGTAGAATAGAGTAATTGAAAATATGAGAAGATTGCTTATACTATGACATGGTACGCTACTAGTTTATGGGAAACATAATACGTATTTGTTCATCTTCAAGTTGATCCAATAAAGAACAGTCTCGATACCATGGTTCAGGTGAAAAGTCGTGATAGGGTGTAATTTTAAAATATTTTTTTGCTGTTGGAGAATACTGTGGCCATGGTTGTAATGGTTCTCCATCTCGAGCCATACTGATCCAATGTGAAATGATTTGATTTGAAAAACTTCGTGTTTGACTATCCCATGTACAGTTGTGGGAATTCATTGAATTATAGGAACTGACAGTTCCAAAAACGAATGGAATTTCATCTACATGACCACATAAACCAGCACCTTCTTCTACTGATAATTCGGGACATATCCCAGGATTACAATCTAGATGATACCAATATAGCTTATGCGATTGTTGATATTTCATATATAAATTATTGTATAGTCGTTGAACATTACAATCAAAAAGTTTATCTATTATGAATGAGTGAACAACATCGCAGCAACGATTCTTAGCATTTCTATTGGAAGAACAACTATTTAGCTGATAGTTATTGACGAACAATGGTAACCAGTGTGGTAGTATTGTTTCACTTGTCATCGCAATAGCCTTTGTTGAATTCATATCTGGATTTTCAAAACACGTTAAAGGTTCTTGTTCATTGTTTCCTATAATCATTGTAATGTTTGGATTGTACAAACCATTTTTTATTGCCAAAGGAGGATAATAAGGGAAAAAATATCCATCAACAATTGTATTTGCTGGACGATAACCGAAGGCCACAATCAAATCTTCAATTGAAGAATTACGTAAACATGCAAGCATTAATGCATTATTTTCACGTGTACAATTCATGTTTTGCACAACCTTGTTAGATGCTTGGATTGCATTACTAATATTTGAATAATATGGATAATGACTAGCTGCACTTGATTCCGATATAATATGTTGATAAAGATTGGCTGATCCTTTCAATGCACCAATGTCAACAACAGCTTTAGCTCCAGAACTTTCTCCAAATAATAAAACATTTTTTGGATTGCCACCATAATCGCGAATATTTTTATTTACTCAGCGTAATGCTGATAACATATCTAAATAATAATAATTACCAGCTGTTGGCCAGTCTGGTGAATTTTCTTCAACCAAAGCTGGTAAATATAAATCACCAAGAACACCTAGTCGATAATTAATTGTTACGATAATAGCCGGTTGAAGAGAATTAGCGATAATATTTGTTCCATTATATATAATAGGAATACCTTGTGATGAACAACCAGTTTGAAGAGCACCACCATGAATCCAGACGAGAACTGGTAGTAACGATTGATTTGATACATTGATTGGAGTAAAAATATTTAGTTACAAACATTGTTCATCTTGTCTGTCTATATATATTTTTACAGTTGGTTGAGGACAACATGGACCAAATGAAGTTGCATTAAATGTGCCATTAGGAAAAGCATCCGACGCATGATCAATTGGAGGCTTCCATCTGCTGACTTTTGCATATTGAATTCTATATGATAAAATATTCAAAGATGTTGATTACTTTTCAGAATTATAGGGTGAGAGTGAGGATGAAAAACATGCATATTTATTTCAAGATTTCTATTAGGTCGTAAGTTTACTCCATTAATTTTGATTCTCCAACTAAAGTATAGGCGATCCCCTGTTTCATACTGTCTTCTTATCATCTTACCCTAAATATTCAATCGAAGATTGAATTTGTCGTCCATATATTGTTCATTTTTGTGTTTGAAGTCCAACGTTTGTCGCTATCAAACCATTAGATTTAAGTTGTAAAATATGGCACAAAAGTCCAATGATGAAAATGTTCGACTTGAAATAGATCATCTGAAAGATAATGTTTGTCTGCTAAATAGCAGAGCTGGAATCGGACCGGCCGGTCCGATCTAGCTTTTAAGACCGGCATAGACCGGTTTGACCGGTTTTTTAACAACTTTTAGGGCACGAAAGCTAAATTAATGCATTTTCGGCCGGTATTTGCCGGTGCGCTCAAGAATTTCAACCGGCGGTTACTGACTAGCCACCGACCGGTCCGGTCCGGTCCGGTTTGAAAAAATCAGACCGGTTTCAGCTCTGCTAAATAGTGGTCACATTTTAATCTTCTTTCTATGCTGGCAATATGCAAAGGGATACATTGTGTACGCTATGATTCATAATAAATTCCAATCATTTTGCATAACCCATGCGAAAGCGCTTTATCAATGAAAATATTGGAAAGGCTTTCAAAAAAGTCAAATAACCTGGATTTTGATTTATTTTAAATACTTAACGTAATGAAAACAACCTGGCGATGAAGAAAACATCAATAGTGACTTGTTATCTGATATCGAGTTGTCTGCTATAATGAAATTAAGTGAAAACAGCAATTGAAAATCAAAATAGGAGAATTTTGAAACACGATTGGTGTTTATTTTTCATCGCCAGATTATTTTCATTTTTGACGCGATCAGTTTTAATGCTAAACTAGGTAAAAATATCATTCTTGTGTTTTTTAACATAAATGAAAATAAAAAATATAAGTTCCTCTTTAAAGAAATTTAGTCAAAATATTGATTGATGAAAGCTTAGACTAGGGTTCTCCTTTAAATATCAGAAACATAAAAAGAAAATTAAAAAAAAAGACCATTACCAACACAATATCCTTTATACAAAGAAATATTAATGTTACCCTTTATTTAGGCTCAATGTATAGTATAATATCATGCAAAGCATTCGAATAGATCCCTTCTGTATCTCTATCTATAAATGAGAAACAATAGAGCCAAGCGTGGGTACACAAATACCATGACTGCTAGGGACTTAATCACATGTTTGTGACTTGTTTTTTTACATTATAATTCTATACAAAATAATAATCTACCACTGAAAATATCACTCAAAGCTTATCAACATCGAACGCTCCTCATATCAAATAAAGATTGGTAGTTGACCGACAGAATGTTCGTCTTTTGTAAAAAAAAAGAAAAGAAACAATGGTTTCAATCGTATTTTGATTGGCAGACGAATGTGAAAAGCAGCTGTACAAATGTCTATAGGGTAATTTGATAGCTTATGTAGGACTTAAAAGTAGTATATCGTCATCATTCTATTTCGTTGTAATGCCTGACAAAATCGAAAAGAAAAGTTACTGTTGGCATTGATGCAAGAGAATGTAACAAGGTAACGTGACGCAAACGTCGCTGATCCTCTACTGAAAGGGTAGCTGTCGCAGAGTTTATGATATATGAGCGAAGAAATATAATAATTATTGCTTACATCAAGGGGGGAAAAGCGGTGCCTAGTGGATCCTAGGATCCATAAGGATCAACCAGGATCCAGCAGGATCCAAAAAAAACCATTAAAGTTAGCAGTATAGATCAATGGTCTAAATATCCACAAAAGCAAGAAAATCAATGAGATGTATAAAATAAGGATATATAAATAAAAATCTTTTCTGAATGAATCAACGTGATCATCATGGATGATCGATTCTAGGGGTGTTACCTTATTTTTATGTTTCCTTATAATAAAGAATAACCTATGTGTAAAAAGTCTTGGTACAAAATGTTTTCTTTATTCTCTCCCTCCTGCTTAGATATTTTCTATCAATTTTTATACAAGGTTTTAGGCTCTTATCTGTGTATTCATTATGTGTATAAATGTTGTGTATGAGATGATTTGATTTGAACGCAGAAGCTTTACGGAAGATGGTCTTAAAAACTGTTTGTACAAGGAAACTAGCACCAGAACTTTTTAGAAACATACAGGATAAAGTCCATTTAAATGATAAATACAAGCACCCATACACAACAACCTATGGCCATCAAGAGACAAAGCTTACTATGTTTCCTAAGACAAACGGTATTAAAGCTAAATGGTACGGTCTACATTATCTAAATATTTGACAGCTAACTTCTACTTGTGAAATAACGTACATTTTTTCTTGAATATTCTTCATGATTGCATATTATATATAGTTGAGAAGCTTGGAGGATGCACTTCAACAACATTCACTCTGGAATAAATATTAAGACTCTTTAGAGCACAACCGGTGTTGAAATTTTCTTTACAGCTAAAACTCCCATCTTGAAAACTGACATTCAAAAAACTTTCCTGCCCTTTACAACTATTAGTTGTCAGATCCTTTTATATGAAATGACAAAGCTGAGAGAGATGCACAAACTAATATATAATAAGTCTAGGAAAGATTTTAATTGAAAGGAGAAATCAACCAAAGAAGCAATCACACTACACATATTTTTACATTTTTTTCTGCTTGCTTGTCCAAACCAAATTTTATGGGTATTATTTACAAAATCTTTCTATCTCAAGCTAATCATCTAACATGAAGCATTTGTATATGAAATGAAAGTACGGAGAATAGGCTACAATATCCTATAAAATACAAGCATATATATCCAATCAGAACGAAGAAAATGGTCAATGAAATATGTACTAAGACTTTTTACACATAGGTTAAAGTAAAGACAATCTTTATCTTTATTTTATAAAGAATAAAGATTATCTTTACTTTAAAAATAAGTATAAAGTAAATCTGTATACTTATAAAATAAAGATAAAGATAATCTTTATTTTTGGAAATAAAATTAAAGTAAAGAATGAAGAATGACTGTTGTCAGTTATAATAATACAAGTAAACCACTGTTATTAACAACAGACGATATCAATTAAAAAAAACGTTGTACTGTAGAAATATTTTTTGTGCAGAACAAACCATAATAGAAAATTAGTAAAGTGCAGAAAAAGATGTTATAATTTTATTCAGTCTTAGAATCGGTGAATGATTAATCGAATTCTTATTTGCTATCGATATGACCACTATGAGACTGACTCATATCAATATTCTTTTGTGATGTTCTTTAAGACTTTAAAATACGTACTATACATTGTTGCTCATTCTTGGTGAAAACAAAAAATAATACAGATCATATACAAATCACTGCATTCTTTTGTTGACAAGACGTGATGAAAAATGTCTTTTTATTATTCTCTATTTCGTTTAGTGATATTTTGTTGTTCAAAAGACATGAAACAAAATAGCGTTAATTTTTGTGAAACAACATTTTCCGTTTGGCTAGTTTAATAATAAAACCTTCTTCTCTTATTCAACGATAAACCATTGATTAGGGTGTGGGTGTGTGGGTGTGGCTATGGGTGGGTAGGGTGTGGGTGTGGGGTGGGTTTGGGTGTGGGTGTAGGTGTAGGTGTGAATGTGGTGTCGGGTGTAGGTGGGTGTGATTGTGGGTGTGATTGTGGGTGTATGGGTGACACAAGAAGAATGCCTACACCCAGCCATCCACACCATCAAGCCACATCCCACCCACACCCACCCACCCACCCACCCACACCCACATCCGCACCCCACCCACCTACACCCACACCTGCATCCACATTCACACCCACACACCCACAAGTATACATTACAAGTTGAAGAATTTCAGTGAATTTTATGTAACGAGCTCATTGTCCAAATGATAACTATGTTTTATAGAATTGAGGAATCTGAATGAACTTCGGGTATTACCCCAAGGCTAATGACATGCGAAATCTTACTATATGTTATAAAAGTTGAGGGATTTTAGTGGAATTGGGGTGTTACCCCAAGGGTAATAACTTGAGGGTGAGTGTGGCTGCGGTTAGAATTACGAAAAGATTAGTACCCATACACCGACACCCACACCTTCTCTATCATGTTGGCATAAATATTTTCGTTCAATCTCTCATTCGAAAGACTACTGTCATTAGCGAACTACTTGATCTTGATCATAAATAGTGTTTCTAATGAAAATGTAAAACATTATGTAATTACATATAAACATTATTTATATAAACAATATGTACCTACGGGCAGTGTATATAAAGAAAATTTGATAAATTGTAAAGAAAAAAATAAAACAATATTCATGTCATTTCAATAAACCAAGATGCCCTTCTTATGTCATTGATCGCATTCCACATATAATTAAAACATTTTTTTTTAATTTAAAATAGTTTTTAATATATTAAACGAAAGCTGTTAATTTCTTCTGCACAAAATCCTTATCATAAATTCTACTATTGAAATGAAGTGTACAGCAGCTACTGTTCTATACATTTTACTTGATTGTATAGAAATTGTCATTAGAAACGCTGTAAGACACTAAATATAAGCGACTTTCACTATCTCATTTTGTTTGTGTTGATTGTCTTTAATGAAATAGACCGCATCACAAACTAAAGCAAATGAAAAAACGGCTTACCCGAATTTCGCCAATAAGACTTTCGCCAACTGGATATTCGCCAATGGCGAAAGTCCAGTGGGACATTGGCGAAATTCCAGTGGACTCTCGCCAATTGGCGAAAGCCACCGGGGTATATTAGCGAAAGTACAGTGGACTCTCGCCAATTTGCGAATGTCCTGGACGTGTATTGGCGAAAGTGTAGTGGACTCTCACCAATTGAAAAAAGTTTGATGGACTTTTAGCATTTGTCACAGAAGAATATAATTGTTGAATATGAGTGAGGAGGATGGGTATCAGTATATATCTGGGTGTTGTCTATTAATCTACATGTTACACTGTTGAATGCACATCAGACTCTCGCCAATTGGCGAAAGTATAGTGGACTCTCGCCAATTGGCGAAAGTTACCAGGGCATATTGGCGAAAGTACA